TTTGGAATACCTTATTCTCTAACCTTCAGCGTCAGAAGTTGGTTTAACTTTGCCTTCAGGGGTAAAACAAAACATTCCATTCAAAATTTTTTGTTTTCCATGAAAATACTGACTTTAATAACCCTGAGTGTTCTCAGTAGTCACATCAATGCCTGGCCCTATTCTGAAACCTTCATTAGTCTTTTCAGTACTTTGTGGCTGTGAATCCCATAGGCTTTTCTGTGCACTGTGTGAAAAAATTACTTCTTAATGCCAGTTTTCAAAGTGACACCTTTCAGTGTCCTTTAACAGTCACCTCTTGTTCTGCATAGAACTAAGAAGTATGTATGTATCGATCACCTTTGGAGTAAAGTAGGGTGAATATGTATTCATGCATACCTAACCGTAGCACTGTGCTATGATATTTCTCTGGTGCTGCCATGGAAATCAAATGATTAAGAAGCTCCATTTTACAAAGGACTGAACTGAGAGTTCCCGCACAGCGATGTGTTGCTAAAAATAGCCTTCTGCCAGGCAGATACATGTATGTGTCTGAAATTACTTTGGGCTTTGCCCTTTGGTTTTGTGGGATGGATGATGGGAGCAAGCATGTGCAAGAATAGGAAAGAGTTTATGCAAGAGGACATAACTGGAGTGTGCTTAGGGAAATACCACTGCAGTCATCAGATCCCTGAGCTGACTTACACAAGCAGGATTTTTGGACATCACAAAGACAAGACAGCGTTTTTCTTTTTTTCGTGAACTGTTTTCATCAGCGTGTTGTCAGTGTTCTTGTTTTCTTCTTTATTACATTGTTTATCTGCAGAGTTGGCTTTGTCTTCTTCTGTGGAAAATATCTGTACACTATTCTCTGCATTCCCAGTATCTCATTATGTGTTGCAAGCTAGCACCCGGAGCTTGCAGTCATTTCCACACAGGCAGATATTTGCTCACAGTGCTCTGGTATGAGAGAATCCCACAATTCTGAGCCAACTGAAAAATGAGTATTCAAAATGTTAGGAGTGTAAGCCTATCTGGGGTAAGTGCTGATTTTAGTACCTGAGGCACAGGATATACCTTGATTCTTTTCCCAGCTTTGTGAGTGATAGTGGAGTAGCAGTGGTTAAGCGGATTAACTCCTTTGTCTGTTTTTGCCACTAATTAATATAAAATAATAAAGCCCAGCTTTATCTCAGAGGTATTATGAGTCTTAGAGGCCAGCCGTTTGGGAAAAGAGTTATGCTTACAGTCTGGTTTTTTCCTGCTTGATAGTATAAAAAAAGAACAAGACACTGATCTGCAAGGGCAAGGTTGGTTTTTTGCTTTTTTTTTTAATACAACCACCACATTTTGCCTGCTGTGCTTTGGAAAAATCCCCACTTTGTGGAAAATACTAGAAAATGAGTACTCATAATTCACCAACTGCCAGTAATGGTGCAGCTGCTGTAGTACTAACTTGCCAAGTTCAAGACAACCCAGACATTTTTATTGCTTGAAAACACAGGCTGAATCCTGACTGCTGTGGCTCTTATATTGCTGCTGTTGCTGGGAGAGCCATGCTATAGTGGGAATTTTGCCAGACTTCTGCTATTTCTATCCTCCTCCAGCACTGGACAGTGGTAGCAATCCTACCGCAGAGGTAGGGATTTGCAGAGCAAGAGATCCAGTGCAGATGAACTGCTGTCTGCCACTGAATTTTAAGTACCACTGAGATCAGGATTGCTCTGAGGAAGATTAGATCATGCAGTTCCTAATAAAATGTTAATGGCTAGATATCTCTAGCATCTCTGGATTGCTCACAATAGAAAAAACGTGGTAGTAAGACAACAGTGAGATTTTTTTGTGGTGAAGATTGAAAAGCTAGTGAAGTAGCAGTGTCACAACCTTAATGACTGTGAGGACAAAGTGTTTTAGTCAGAACATTCAGAACTACATCTTTGAGCTAAAACTCTTAGAACTCTTAAAGATAAAAGTAATGTTGATAAAACCTATTTAATTTTAGTGACCTGCTAGCAGTTTGAGAACTCTTTGTTACAGATTTAACAGAAAGGAAGAGTCAAGCAAGAGCTCAATGCAATAAGAAAAAGCAGGAACAGTAAGCAAAACATCATCTTCTTGGCTCTCTGTAGAAAGAGAGAAAGAAGTAAATAAGAGGCAACCAAGATTTTAAGACGGGTTTTTTTAATGTTTGTAGAGAGCACTGAGCTCTGCAAGCAAAGGGTAAGTGTACTGTTTCACACTGACATGAACTGTCCTGAGTATTACTTACATGAACAGCAGTAGGCTATGGTTGCAATAGTTATGGATTGATTTTGTTGGAAACTTTACAAGCAGTTGACAAAGACAAAGAAGAGAGAACAGAAAGTAAATCCAGTCTGCTTGTTTTTTTCTGTTAAGGTATACGTATGCTGGATGGAATAGTCACCGATGCTATTGAAGCCAGCTCAATTGGTTTCAATCCAGAACATGTGGATATTTACAGTGCAAGCTGGGGCCCTAATGATGATGGTAAAACTGTGGAGGGACCCGGGAGACTGGCACAGAAGGCTTTTGAGTATGGGATTAAACAGGTATGATACTTAAGAGACAGTTACAATAAAATGTGGCAGAGAACAGAATTTTAAAATGGTTGGTATCAGGGAAGAAATCAAAATGGTTTGTGCTGTCTTTGCTCAAACATATTTGAAAAGGAGGAGATAGATTTTAATAGTACAGGTCAGAGAAATTACCAGCCAGAATAGGACTTTTAAAAAAGCACCATTAGAGCTTTCTGAGCTGGTTTTAAACTACCATTCTCTGCAGATAAGCTTTCTTTTTCCATCCTTACTTTTGCTGCCTTTGTCTTGCCCTACCCCCACCTTCTCTGCTGCTTGTTTTGCACTGAACAGTAATTGGATTTCTGCACTGAAAGCCTATAAAATTTAATATGGAATTTCTGCTTTGTGAATATTTTGCTGTGTGAAATAGTGATGCATTTTAGCACCCTGTGGATGGGCTTGTATTATGTGAATTGCATTAGTTTATAAATTGGTGCGTATCATGATCCAATTAAAATGAAGATAGTAAAAATGCATGATGAAGAGTATTGGAAACAATGTAGTATAGTGAGGAAGACTGAATCAGAGACAGGAGAGGAGAGAAATGGAGGAAAGCTTGAAGGACAGAAGCAAAGAGAAAGAGGACTTTGGAAAAAGGGCAGTTAACATTGGCAGACAGAAGGAGAGAAGAAGAAAGAAGAGTCTGACAGCTGACAAACATTCCCTGAGGGAAGAATGGAGACTAAGAGGAGTGGGCTGGTGATAACCAGAGATCTAAGTCCATAGGTAGGTAGCAAGAGAAGAGGGAGAATTAAAGACAATAATTAGGGTACCAATGTTCAGTGGTCTTACTCTGAAAAAAGCAGGTTATTTGGTGAAGAATGTATCTTTTTTTTACAACTTGTTTTATTTCTTAAGGGGAGCAAATTTACCCATTAATTTGTCAGGCTTCCTTTTGCAAGGATCTGGATGGTCTCCATTCTGCTTAAAGTTAGCCAGAGTTGGGGTTGCCAGTGACTTTCATCCCTGATGCCTTCATTGCTGCCCTGGTAAAGCACTTAAATATATGCTTAGCCTTAAGCATCTGAGAGGCATTAGTAGCAATCTAAGTGAAATCAAAGCAGGTGTTTACAAATACCAGTGCTTTTCTGGACTGCAGCCTTTATTCTCAAAGGAAGAAACTATATCATTTTCTGTAATTGACATGGCTTGTCCTTCCCATTTTAGCAGTTGTATCACAAAGAGTACAGCTTACTTTACTTTACTTTTAATGTTTTAAGTTCTGCAAATGTCTTAGCACTTGCATGAACAACTTCAGATCTCATCTGAATAGGATGATAAAAATCTGTATTTCAACTGCTGTTTCCAGTGAATGTACATATATTAATAATGAACAACATATGAACTTTTGCTCTTCACATGAAACAGATCTTTTTGCTCTGAAGCACTAGTACAGCTTAAGACTGGGTAGGGTGATACGTGCTTCCTCTATGACAGCTGTGATGGTTTACGTGCTGTCTGCTGTCAGCGTCAGTTGTTAGCTGCTGCTCCCTCATGACGTGCTGGAGACCAGAGCAGGGAATGAATGTGGTTATGTCTGGAGACTGGTGGTGCTGGCCCACAGATTTGTAAGAGAAGAGAGGGTTGTCAGTCAGATGTGCTTGCTGGTTCACTGTGTTTAAGCAAGTGAATGCTAACCGTGAAAGGCTTCCTTACAAAAAATAAATTGGAAAAGTCATACCATGTACATCATTCATACTGCTTACCCGTACCTCTGTGATTACAGGAAAAGCAAGTGAAATAAACCCTGATAAACTTGCCGTTTCTTAAAAAAAAATAGGCATTTTTCCTAGAAATGTTCAGGACCAAAACCTCAGCATGTGGGAAAACTTACCTGTTGAGCACAGACTCTGTTTTTAACTTAAAAACCTGTTCTGAGGAAAGTTGCTGTACCTGGAACACTAAACCTAGACCAGTCAAACTGAGATGTTACTGTAGGGTGTGAAGTAGGATACCTCAAGTAGCTGGTTTCTTCTGTCTCTGTCTCCTCCAGTGCTTGTGGAAAATTGTCCTTTTCTACCTGAAAATGTTTGATATATTAGGCTTTGGCAGGGGGAGGAGTTGTTAAGAATACATTACAGAGACTGAAATATCTTTGATAACCACCCATTTCCATTTTCTCTAGGGCCGAAATGGGAAAGGCTCCATTTTCGTATGGGCTTCTGGGAACGGAGGCCGTCAGGGTGACAACTGTGACTGTGATGGTTACACTGATAGTATCTACACTATCTCCATTAGCAGTGCTTCTCAGCAAGGCCTTTCTCCCTGGTATGCAGAGAAGTGCTCTTCAACTCTGGCCACAGCATACAGCAGTGGGGATTATACTGACCAAAGAATTGTAGGTTGTTTTTACCAGATTCAGAACAAACATAGAAATGTATTATATGTGCAAATAACAAGTGAGAGCTCTTAAATGCTTGGTTTCAAGTGCCTGCTTTATGTTACATGTTACATGCTTGGTGCTTTTGCCTTGAAAAACTGAGGGATTTGTAATCCAAAAAGTGATTGTGTTCCTGGAACATCTTCTGTTGTAAAGCAATGGCTAAACAAAATCATTGTGTCAATACAGTTAAATGAGCATTCTGAATTTGTTTGCTGTTTGTGTATGATAGAGGTCTCTGCATGAAGTTTGATGTGGTCCTGTTCTTCAGAAAGGGCAGATGAAGAGAGATTCAGAGTAAAAGAAAAAAGAACACGTGAAGTTAGTGTACCATATGAGTCAGTACCTCTGATAACCTTGCCATTAGCTTTTGTAAGATTGTCAGCCCCCAAGTTCTCACTTACGACAGCAACAATAGTGCTTCCAAACCTGTAAAAGGTACTCAGCAAGCAGGCAGAGCAATCTGTGTGCCTTCATTAACTGTGCAAGAAATAACTTTCGCTGAAGAAAATTGCTGTGATAAAATAACGCTGAAGTACCTATAATTTCTGTTCAGCCCTGGTGGATGCTAATTTTACAATAAACTACATTGATGGGGATTAAAACAATGTCATTCCAAGTTAGCCAGGAGATCAGTCCTTCCTAAGTGGCTTCTCTTCATAGCTGAGGTGTAGATACATGGGCAGATGAGTTTGGTATTTAAGTTCCGAATAAAGCACGTGTTTCATTGCAAATTATAGTTCTTCTGCTGAAGAGAGAGCAGAACACCAATACTAATCCTATGAGTAATTTTCTAGCAAGCAGTAATTTTAAATGTTCTAGGCCCAACACAATGATCTGTTTTTATGATTCACCAGTAAGCCTGAAACACTTATTGTGAAACCTTAGAATAAAATAAGATATTCAGTGTGGGAGTATTTTGTTCCAACACAAAGCGTTTTGATACAAAAATTATAGTTGAAGTAAAAAGAGTGGATTGAAATACGAACGGATTTAAACATCCATCACTTTTTCTGCTTGTGAGGAATGTATTAATATACACCAAGTAAAGGATACATGGTTATGTTTGTGAGTGTGGATATGACTGTATTTAGCAGGAATTTTTGCTCTAGCGCTGGAAGCAAAGTAAGATGTCACACAATTATCTTTGAAACTCCTCTGTCTCAGCCACCCTGCCATCTTCCCCGAAATGTTGTCTGTTTGACAGTGGCACCATCTCGTGCTGCAGCTCCACTTTTTGTCAGTCAGACTTGCTCAGCCTGATGACAAAAATAAGCAGCTACTTGCCTCAACACCTTCCTGGCAAAGCAGAACCAATGTAAGTAAAACATGACGACTGAGGAATTTTAGTCCATTTCGTGCATTGACAACAATTGTTTACTGAGTTCTGGTCAATTGCACTTAAAAGCAGTGAGGCTGCACATGTATCAGGAGAACGTAATTTGAAGATAATAGGTTGCAGGAGTTTAAATTAAGTCTTCGGTCAATTTACAGAACCTTTTCTGCCAATGATGAGATATAAAATGGAAGGTACCCAAGCTTGACTGTCAGAGCAGGCAGGGAGCAGGCAGGTTCAGGTCCTGTAGGGCTGGTAGTCAGAATGTATGACTTAGAGAGGGTAAAAAAGAACAGGACAGGACAGGACAATGGCTTTTTCACAGAAAACACTTCAGGCATTAGGGCGTAGGCTTAGTACTTGAATGGTGTAGGTTCATGTTCTATTGCACACTTCATTGATGATGTAAGCCAAGATACTTAAGGCCATATTTTAAAGGGTAGAGTTAATCACAGATAGAATCAAATACCCAATGAATTTTCAAAGTCCAGGTCCCATAAAGACTGGTGGGCAATACTAGTTTTGCTAGTTAACTTTACATGTCTGAATAATTTTGAAGAATTGGACTCTCATCTTGCTAGATACGCATTCTTCATTTACACAGAAGTCTTGTCTACCTGGAGAAGTATTGTGAGGATAAGCATGTGACATGCTCTCTATTTTAAAATAATGAGGTGCCGTATACATTCAAAGCATGTTCTGTTGCAGACTAATAATTGAGAAAAAAATTATAGATAGCCCTGAAACAAGTAACCAGGAGCATTTTCTCAACAGCCCAAATCTAACATGGAGGGATATGCAGCACTTGGTAGTGTGGACGTCAGAATATGATCCACTGGCTGGAAATCCAGGATGGAAAAAGAATGGAGCGGGACTGATGGTCAACAGCCGATTTGGGTTTGGACTACTCAATGCCAATGCGTTGGTAGATTTAGCTGATCCCAAAAGATGGAAAGGTGTACCAGAAAAGAGAGAATGTATCGTTAAAGACAAAAGCTTTGAACCAAGGTAAGAATTTGCATTAGCGGTAGCTAAGCTTATGTCTATATTAGTAAAGCCTGAAGGATAGTATTCTGCACAGATTGCTCTGAACCAGACTCAGAGATTTCGTCTGATTCATTTGGTTTCGCCTTACTGTATTCCTCAGGGGCAGGCAAGCAGCGTTGGTTTGCTTGCCTTTTTTTAGTGTAAGACTGATGGAAATTACTAGCATGAAGTCTTAACAAAAAATAAGTCTGCTTGTGCAACCAGCGTATGGACGGATGATAGTGTGAGACTAAACCCTATCAGATAAGATATGAGTGTTTAGACTGCTATCAGAAGATGAATAAAAAGATACCAAAGTCTCCCAGGGATTTTTTTAAAAAAGCATCTGTAATCAGTCTTAGCAATTTTTCTCCTGTGATAGGCATAGTATATGTTGAAATCAAGGTGATATATTGAGCTTTAGTCACCTCCATAGCATGTCTTTTATGAAACAGAAGTGTCTCAAAGGCTCACTGAAAAGGCTTAGCAGCCACATTCACAAGTGCTCCCAGCATAGTGAGCCTAAACTGAGCTCAACATACAGGTAAGTTACAATTAGTCACTAAGCTGGTTAATCAATAAAGATATCTAGACCGTTTTTGCTTCTACTTGTTCACTTATGGATTTATTTAGAAAAATTACAGCTATTTCAAAGATCGAAATTGTACTGTGTGAGTGCACCAAATATCTGTCTGTAGAAACATATTACTGTGTTTTGGAGTGTCACTGCGTGGTAACCTTATTATTTACGCTATTTCACTATCAATTTGCTTTTATGAGCGCTCTCCTTTCCACAGAGTGCTGATCCAGTACTGATGTATGTAATACTTGCAGTTTATGTATTTTATTGCAGCCCTTTATGTTACATTATAAAACCAAAGATGCCAAGATTTTGAGTTTAGAATTATTTATGTGGCAATTTAGATACCCCTTTCTCATTAGAATTAATGGAAATTGTGCAGAGAAAACTAGGCACAGTAGCTCTCTGTAGAGAGAATGTACAGAAGATGTAAGCTTTTTTTTCTTGAGATGGCATTGACTACAAAGGGTTAAAATGGCTGTGCTGCTGCAGTATTTTAACTCCATAACAGCTCTTCTGGATATTTGAATGAGAGAACTAAGTATAAGTCTGATAGACTCCTGTGATGTAGCTGACAGCAAAGACTGTTTTTTTATAGTCTCGGTGTTGACAGAAACCTTTGATTATCAAACTTGCTTGCTTGCTTGCTTCCAGGGTGTGTTGCACAAGTCTGTCTTATGCAGTGCCTATCATTTGGTCCACTTCAGTATTATCTGTGCTTCCAGAACTTCCCATGGTTTTTACTGGAGCATTCAAAAAAAAAAAAAGAATGTAGAATTTGTCTTCTTTCTTTCTCGTCATTCTGAAACGGGTATTAAATGCGTCATTTGCACTTCACATAATGATCCAGAATCAAAAGTTTCTGTGAGTAATCAAAAAACTCCTGTAATTTTGCCAGATTATTAAGAGCAAATGAGGAAGTCATCATTGAAATTCCCACAAAAGCCTGCGAGGGCCAAGAAAACTCCATTGCATCTCTCGAGCATGTGCAGCTTGAGGCAACAATTGAGTATTCCCGTAGAGGTGATCTTCACGTCACTCTGGTATCTCCATCAGGTACAGGAGGCAAAGACACACTTTGTTTGTGTTGCTGTAGTGTGTAACATTTATTTCATTAAAAACCACCTCTGAGTTCTTCAGTGGTTTAAAAAGAGCTAAATATATTGTAGGACAAATCTAGTCACCTCCAACAGGTGAGTGTGAGGACAAAGCATCTTGGGGACTAGAGAACTGGTTCTCTGAAACCTCTTTCCAGTCTTCATGTGTTCTGGGTTATTTTTGTGAGAAGAGGTTTGAAAATCATACTTCAGAAAACGAAGGCACTGTTCCTAATATGTTTTCATTCCAGCAACAGGACCTATAAAAACTGAGAGTTCCTGGCAGACAACAAATTATAGTTCAATAGTGCTTATCAGCCTTACTGTGATTTAAGAAGCTAATGCAAAACAGGGTATCTGACTCCATAGATTTCATGTAACTGTGTCTCCCCATTGGTGTATTTAAAAACACAGTGTCTTGTTAGGCATCTTAATACAACTACACTAAATGTGCTAGAATATGGCAAGCTGTCTTGACAATGCCCTGAAATAACACCATAAGGAGAAAAAAAAAAAAAAGAAAGAATGAGTATAAACAACTTCGTAGAGAGTGAGATCTTTTAGATCAACTGATATTATTAGAAAAAACAGACAAGCTTTCAGGTATGAATTTAAACATCAGGCTCATCTAATTTACTGATGTTAAAGGCTAATCTAGTAATTCACAGAGCCTTGTTGATGTCATTATTGCAGGACCTCACTAGACAGCAGGGTTAAAATACTGTACATACAGTGTATTTCCAAACCTACCTTGTCTGGGATTCCTTTTAAGCCTAACCTTAATTCTTCATTTTCTGAGTTTACCTTTTGTCTTATGGGAGCAATGTTGCTCTGAGGTGTTTTAGCCTTGACTCTTGATGGTATTTTTAAATTTAATTCTGTCTTAGATAAGTTTTGGTTTGGGAGTAAATATATGGGCAGTCTCTAGGTGCATCACGGAAATGACAGCAACAGTATCTCTCTTTCTACTTTTATAGAGGTATTACCCTCCCAAGACACTGTTCTGTTGCTATTATGTAGGAAGCATGGCTTCATCTTAGAAAAACACCCCTTTTTGAAAGACTGATGACAGTAATATGTTCTTCATCTTTTTATGTGTTTCTCTGGGTTTAGTTGAGGTAGCAGTAGCCAAGGTCTGCTGCCTCCACTATTGCGTCATGTTATCATGGTTAAACAGTTCTTTCCCTTAGTTCTTGCTGTTTTTCCACCTTCCTGCAAAACAGGACTACCAAATGTATGTCATTCCTTTTCTATATTTATGGTGTTACCTTTAAATATATTTATAGCTTGTGATCAGGCTCCCTGGGGCTTCTCTGCTCCTTATTATGTAAATATAGCTCCCTTACTCTCTCCTTATAGGCAAATAAGCACAACAAATTTCATACTGTGCAGTAGAATCTGTTTTGCTGTAGAAATACTTTGTGAACTGCAGCATTTTTGTAATAATAATAACAATGCAAATGCTTTTCACCCTGTTGGAGTTCCAGGCTGTAACAATTTACATCCACTCACCAAAAAAAAAAAAAAACCACAGTGATGAATTGAGGATAAGGCTTTGGTTGCACAGTACTGTGTGAGCTGGTTTGCCTTCAAAACTTCTATCTCAGAAGTTTCTTGAACTGTTCATCAGTAGAAGATACTGTTTGTGTCTGACCTCTGTTTCTTATGCTGCTTCATGTGCATCCACTACTTTTTTCTGTTAGAGATTGAACACGAAGCAAGATGTACCTTTTTAGCATGACCTAATGTGATAGTTTTTATGCTCTTAAATACTGCTGTGAAAACAATTATGTTTCCCATTCCAGAAGCCACTGTTAAATAGTGCATTTTCCAGGTTACCTATGCAGTAGATAGTGTGCAAGCTGAGCAATATGAAAAGTAAAAGTGGACATGTGTGAACAGTCACTATTGTTGACCTTGCACTAACACAGGGACCACCACTGTCTTACTGGCTGAGAGAGAGAGAGATAAATCTCCCAATGGCTTTAAGAACTGGGACTTCATGTCTGTTCACACATGGGGAGAGAATCCAACAGGCACCTGGGTTTTAAGAATAACTGATGTGGTAAGTATGTCTGTATGTTAACTAGCTATGTTTGGAAGCTAACACAGATAAAATGATCTCTAACCACTACCAAGCATGTTGAATAGTGAGTTGTCTGGTTAAATATGCTACAACAAGAGTTTATTTACACTAAATATCCATCTGGATTAAAGATTAAAGAAAAAAAGATAGGGTCAGATTTTCTTGTTCTTTACATAAATGCGAAGGACCATCCTCATTTCACTGACATGTACTTGTCAAAAAAATTTCATGCCTATGTTTTTCACCCATTATATGTCACTGAAAGAAATCACTTAATATAATTTTCTGTGATTCATGGAGTGAAATATGTAACCCAATTAACAGATGATTAACTGCAAATTATTTTTTTCTGCAGAAAAGAACACAGGATAGATCTAGTCTTCTCTTAGTGCATGTGCATAATTTTCATTAATTCAAAACCTTTCGAATTAATGAATTTTGGTGACCTCAGAGAGCTATTCTGATGTATACCTTTCCCTAACTTCGTTCTTAGAGTAATTACTGCTGAACAACGTCTAAGGATTAAAGCCAAGAAATCTACAGATATGAAATAAGTTTACTAAAACCACCGGGGGATATGGATTATAACAGCGAGACACCAGAATAAAGCTGCTTGATAGGCAACTGAAAAATAATTCTCTTCAAAGAGAGAGTGAGCAAGCGCACTCATCTCTGGAGAATTTCATTGAAGTTGTCTGTTAATAAGCTTGTCATTAGGGGTCAGATCCTGCCAGAAACTGAGTGCTTCCTATCAGATGCTGAGCCTCCAACCCCTATTGGCCTCAAATTGTAAACAGGAGGATAATGCCAAGTACTAAGCAGATGGCCACGGCAGTAGAAGTAAATGTTATTATCAACAGTGTAGTGTTAATACTGCAGGCTTATAGATAACCCCATGGTTACAGATATCCTGCTCTTTGTAATTAATATAATGCATTTTTTGGAACAAAGTTAAGACGAGCATTTTTTTTGTAATTATCTCTCATTTTCCATTTTCAAATGAAACTTAAAATAAACTAAGCTTTTAGTCCTCAAGAGGTAATGCGCTCTTTCCTGTGTTTGTAGGGTTTTGTGATTCCTGAAATAAGTTTTCACATTAATGACCGTAACTGGAATCACAGATTCCCATGCAGGGTTACTCATAATTTAGTTGTCATGTAAGTTGTGTATGTAAACTTTGGTATAGACTTCTGTTAGAAAAGAAGAGCTTCAGCAGCTATCTTCAGTCACTAAATGACTGAGCAAAAATTCTGAAAGAAGCTTTGGTAAAATAAAGTTTCAGTGTTCGCTGTACTTGTCTCTTCCACTTTCTACTATTTAAATACTGCTGCCAAAACTAATGGACAAAGTGGTTGTTACTCACTTCCACAAGCTGTGCTTCAGATTGCTATTGTACACCACTACAGAATATTATTCCAAATTATTATTCCGATGTCAACTTTTCCAAGGAAATTGCGAAGGAATGGTTTAGTGAACAAATACTAATATCACAAACTACTACTTCAGTAATTTTTAGCGTTCTGTGCTATGACAAAATTCCATTGATGCTTACGTGATTAATTAATATGTTGCATCAAAATGTGAATATTTGGAGTAGTTAAGCCATTGTATTAAATCCTTCTTTCTGATATATCCTGTTTCTAATATATCAGTCTTCTGGTGCTTATAAATCATTGTCTAAATTTAGTTGTTGAAAGCCTAATTTCTTCTAGTCACTTCTGTTTACTTTACGATCAAGTGTCCTGTTTCCTCTTCTTATGTCCTGAGAACCTACGCTAATGCTATGCTTGTCCTTTAGTCCAGAAGAATACAAAATGAAGGAAGGATTGTAAATTGGAAATTGATTTTGCATGGCACTGCTACCCAGCCTGAACATATGAAGCAGCCACGTGTATACACATCCTACAATGCTGTGCAAAATGACAGAAGAGGAGTGGAGAAGATGACGGACTTTGTAGAGGTAGTGTTACATTCATTTTTTTCCTTAGTATTTTTCAATTTATTAGAAAATGGTATTTTTTCCTAGTAAGAAGACACATGTTCATTCTGTATTCATTTCATCTAGCCTCTGACCACATCTGAGTTGTATACTGTAATTTTCTCCATGTCAACAACTGGTATTTTTATTAGTTTCTGTTTTCATATGCCAATATCTAAGTTTTTATGATGCTAAGAGGATATTGCTACTAAAGCAGTGAACTAGACAGCTAATGCAGTTGAGTGGTATAAGGAGGGAGGAATACACTTCTGACAGACACACTAAATTTATGTAATTCTAGTGAGAACAAGTGTTGCATCCAAAAGGAGCTTTGCCTGCTGGAGTGCTTCCAGGGAGCTTAGAAGGAAGTTAGTAACAGAAGACATGACAAAAGTCAGGGACTTGCTGATCAGAGGGTTCGGTTAAGTGGATCTGTTGCTGCTAGGTCCTTTGTCACCCCTTCTTTACTTTTCAGGTAGAGTGCTCTAAAGATAACCCAGGCTTCTGAGAGTGACAGTGGGTTTCTGGATGCATGGGATGGTAGTATTGTACATTTTCACAATACTTGATTATGTCAATACCCTTGGAACACTTTATTAATCACATCACATCAATTTGTCTCCTCATTAAGTAATTAGAATGTCCATAAAGTATAGAGAGATTAACCTTCCTCAGGCAGGTTATGAAGGAGAAGATTGAGGGAAACGTGATTACAGTCTTTAAATACATCAAATAAGTGTCTGCAGGTGTGGCAGCCATGTGCAAGAAAATAAATTGGAAGAAAATAAAAGTGAATTCAGGAGGTACTGTAGGAGAAGACTGGCGGACATAGTAAAAACCAGATGAAGGCAAAATGAGTATTCAGTCAGAAAGACAATCCTAGTGTAAATGAGGAAGCTATGCAGCCACCTAGTGCTGTGCCAGTATGGGAGGCGTAGTAGACACTGTTGACACAAAATCATGCCTATCATTGACTTGTCTGTACATCTGTATCCGGCATTAGCCTTCCAAGGTTTCCAGGATATATGTCATGGCCACCCATTAGCCATACTTCACTGTCTTTTCTCAGGTGAGATCATCTACAGAGAAGGTTAAATGGAAGCACTGGTTTAGTCCTTTTCACAAGGGTATGTGGCACAATTGGACCTGTCGTCACCACGGCGTATAATTCCTTCAGTTAGACTGCTGAGGAGCTGTCTTCCATAGTACAACCAAAAATATCTCTTAAGACTGGGGCAAATCCTACTATAAAATGTCATGTTGTATCCTGCCAGTGTGGAATCTGAATTTATAACTTCCTACGTCGTGGGGGGATTTGATATTTTATACAATACCGTCCTTTTGATAGTCTGTTTTGGTATAATGGTCTAGTTCTTTTCTAGATACTAAGTGGCTCCTGAATGAAAAAAATAGCATCTACCCACACATAGATGGAAATCACTAATCAGAGCAAATCTTAATCCAGTCAGTTTTTCATTGACACGTAACCTTTTTTATGCTAATCTCTATTCTAGGACCATACCACACAGGAGAACCTGAGTGAAAAACCCAAAGTCACAGAAGATACCAGTAGTAGCAGTGACAAAGCAGAAGATAAAATCCCATCAGAGGCTATGCTACATTTACTGCAAAGTGCTTTTAGCAGACAGATGTCTCAGAAGCGATTGCCAAAGAAGACTGCAAGTGAGAAGTTAAATATTCCATATGAACACTTCTATCAAGCCCTCGAAAAATTAAACAAGCACTCCCAGTTGAGAGACTCAGAAGAAAGTCTCTACAGTGACTACGTTGATCTTTTTTACAATGCCAAACCATACAAGCATAGAGATGATAGACTGCTGCAAGCCTTGGTTGATATTATAAATGAAGGAAACTAAACTATAGATTATGGCACTGAGTTGGAAATATTCATTCTCCCCACCCCACCTGTAGTTTTTTTTCTGAAGTCTGTTGTACGCTCTAGTTGTGTGATTGCTGCTTTGATTGCTTCATATTTAATACAAATATCAAGGAAGGGAAAAAACGGGTGTGGGAGGATAAGGCAGTAAACTGATGCTTTTTAGTAATAGCTTTTTTTCAAAGCCTTTCCTCATTACCATCAGAGTATATTTGCCCCCTCAGGCATGAAATGCAATAGTATTCCCCTGAAAACCCTAATGCTCTATTTTAAATAATTTTCCTGTTACTTATTCTTCCACCCTATTCACTTAGCATGCAGTAGGATTCAAAAGCTGAACTACCAAGCAGTTTTGAACCGAACTGCCAAAGCTGTGGGGAGATACTCTCATCCCTGGTTTTGTAATGAATATTGCAGTCTTTCTTATATTTGGCATTTATTCCAGATTTAATACTTGCAGCCAGTGCTGCTTCCATCATAGGTTTTTTATTCCTTCTCCAAACAGCAATGTTCCCTTACCCTTCTGTTCTCCCATAAAGGAGCAGCTGGGCAGCTGGAGTTGGATCGGAGCATCAGTAAAGACTGATGAAGTTATTCACGATTTAGACTACAGACAGACATACACTAACATAAAAGAGCCCCAAATGAGGCATCCCAGGCCATGGGATGGCGTTCTCACCACCTAACTTTTGCTACCTAAGTGAAGTGCCTGAATTATGAGCCTGGTCTTTCTAGGCTGTATGTAGTTAATGAAGACAGAGGCTGCTATAGATAGCACTTCAGAGCACTTGGCTAGTCTTCACACTAGTTCTGAGTTACCTGATGGAGTACTGATCTATTTGTATTGACTATATGAGCTTTAGGGGATCAACTTCCTACCTATGGAACCTCAGTTACATTTCTCAAGTTAAATAATATAAATGCCTTCTGAGATGCCTGTCTGCAGTGGTCAGGACAACAAAGCTGAGATCACTTTGCCCTTTCCTTGAACTGTGACCAAAGTGGAATAGAAAGGATAACTGTACCAGCAAAGTCCACTTAAAGACTGGATCTTGGAGTATCTGTGGTAGATTGTAACATTTCCCAAATATCTAGGGAATTAAGGCAAAATGGATGGGGAGAGGGATGAGATTAAAAAAAATACCCTGAGAAGGGACTC